TAAATGTTTTTCACTCACTCTATAGGTATTTGAAGAACTTGTAGCATTCCGCTTCAATATAATTCTTCGTATTTTTAGCCGACACTAGGCAGCTGATACATAGTTAAACAGAGTTGTTTAAACATTTGTTTAACAACAAGTAAATTGTGGCGGAATGCTACAAGTTCTTCAAATACCTATAGAGTGAGTGAAAAACATTTAAAAACACCATTTCGAACTTCTTGCTTTGTTTCAAAATAATTTCAATAATTCACGTAATTCATGGAAAAATATTTAAAGGAACCCAAACATTCTTTGTTAAAAATAAACGCATTTTTACTTAAAGAATGAGCAAATGTACAATTAGAGTATGTTAATGAATTATATTCTTCCAAACATCATCAACTGCAAAATTAGCGTTTGTTTGTAAGACTGAAAGAAGAGGGCGAATTATTGTAATATGCCTGTTTGTTTGTTGTTAAGCTCAAAGCTGCAGAATGATCTACCACTACTGTTCCCACCATAGAGACCTACCCCTAAATTTTAACATTATAAGCCATCAAGCTTGCCGCTGAGCCACCGTGGATAGAGCAATTGCTATATATATATACATATAGCCCAATTAAACCTCTCATAGTCCGTTCACAAGTATTTTTTCAGTCCTATCTACTAATGGCAAGAAGAACGAAGTAAAACCGAAACATAATGTTTTTGTGAAACAGAAATCCGTCCCGAACTGTTCAACAGCATCACGTTACTTTTAACATTACCAGAATAACACTTAAAGTAAAGTTTTAATTTATATTTGATATTTAAATAATGTCTGTCATTTAGGTAGAACTTAATGAACGATAGTGTTGTTTAATACTGTATGAATTATTGGTATATATTGTCATTTAATGAGTGATAGCGTTTGATATTTATTTAAAGACTGACGTTTATGTAACATTAACGAACGGTAGTATTGCTTGATACTGAATTAATTATTGATATATATGTGAATTAATGAGCAATCACTGTTTGATATTTGATAAAATACCGGTGCTTATTTAACTAGTGGTTTTATATACATTTAATGGACGACTTTAGGTATTTTAATACAGTTTATGCCAACTTTTTATTGCCAAGACAATAACAAGTGTTATCCTTAGGTTTATTACCGCAAAATATTTTCCATTTCTTTCAAGTTGACATGTGATTGTAATTTAAGCCTACTTCATCCTTTTATCTCAGACTAGTTAAGTTTTTAAGGAAGGTTATTTTCTCGTTGTAGTCGCGAAAGGATAAAATATAAAACAGTGTAATCTAACTATCTTAACATACATTAAGAATATTCCAAACTTTGATCGTGCGAGCCGCTAGAGATGTTCCTGTTTTTCAAACATTACACATTATTCGTTTTTCTCAAACGTAACACTAAAGATCGAAATCAACATGAACATATTATAGTGAATTGTTTAAATAAAAGAAAGTTAGTGAACTTGAATTACTTGGTTTTATATCGCTCATTTATTACACATGTTTAATTCGTTTAGAACACCTTTGAATAATCTACATAAAGCTGGAATAAAGCTGGACCAGAAAGCCCCTGTAGGTGTTATATTTTAAGAACGTCTGTTATAATCCAGTATCCAATACGGAGTAAGATAACACATATTCCTAAACATCATGCCATAGCTTTGAATGATATATCTAGTGATAGTTGCTTTATCATGTGACTGTATATTTTAAGGAATGCCCAACTGGTATGGTGAAAGAAGACACGTTTAAAGGAATCTACGCACAGTTCTTCCCAAAAGGATCAGAAACTAGTCAGTATGCCCATTATGTCTTCAACAGCTTTGATCAGGATCATACGGGATCAATAACTTTCACGGTAAAACTTGAAATATTTCTTTATGAATATTCACTAGATTATAAGTATAAGAACCATCCGAATTTACCTTCATACTTTTGTTATGAATTTAATTTCAGTGTTTCTTCAAACCTTTAACAACGCATGGAATCCTCGAAAATACAAGAAATTACAATGACAAACCTAACTTAGAGCAGTTTCTTTTGGAAGATTTAATTTTTAATTCGCATACTTAATTTAATGTAGGAACAAAATCTTATGTTCCCCCACCGCTTATAGAAAACAAATTATACTGCTAAAGTTGATGAAAGAAAACAAAGCCACACATGAAAAATGTTTTACCATTTGCTTTGTTCTGTGCCGTGACCCTAAGCAACTATGTCTATTTAGTTAAATATAACCTCTTCATTAGGTGAGAAAAACACATAGGTTGAAGAAGTCTTGATACAAGATGATAAAAACCTTATAACCCGAGCGATTTTGAAAGGTGTACCTTTCTTTTTCAGGGGCAAATTTGGATGGTTTTTATCATCTCTTCGTGAAGGATATTATTAGAATTCTGGTATTTTCACTGTTTGCGGGAGATATTGGTAAAAACGTTATTTATAAATACAAAAAATATATTGTAAAGATAACGAATAAAGAATTTGGCAACAGTATTTGCAGCCTTTATTCCAAGTTCTTCATTATATCTAGCTACTTTGTAGAGATTAAAGTTCTCAATTACTAGAAGTATTTCCTTATAAAAAAATCCAGACCAGCGTGGATTTGTTGGCTAGATTGAAGTTTATCACAATAACAAAAACTAGGACAAACTCTCATTACATTACCTTTAGACACAGTGTACCTCTTTCAATATTTAACACCGATTTCTTTCTAATAAAAGGAATAGTTTCTTCTCACCTAAAAATGTTTGAAACAAACAATTGCCCCCAGTGGCACAGCGGTACGTCTGCGGATTTACAACGCTAGAAATCGTGTTTCGATACCCGTGATGAGCAGAGCACAGATTGTGTAGCTTTGTGCTTATCTACAAACAATTTATTTTCAAGCTTGAAGTTAAATTGCTACATGATACGTTTTGTAAACTATACATCTCTCAACTAACTGAACTCGTATTTACATAATGTCTTTAGTCAACGCCTGGGTAAAGGTAAGTATTAAAATATATTACTGTTTTGAGTTACGATATTAGATGTAAGAACTTGGATTCAGAAAAAAAATGTCTCTTGTAATACCGACTCTGGTAACAATGCTACCAGTAAAAAATGGCACCTGTATTCAGTTTTATCCACCAATATTCACATATCTTTTCTTCAACATTATTCCAGCACGTGAAGAAATCGAGATTATATTTCGGAATGTTGGTTTAAACTAAACATATTTATAAAACACCTTTCAATGTTTTTGCTTTGTTAGAGGGCTATCTGTGCTCTGCCCACCACGGGTATCAAAACCTGATTTCTATCGTTGTAAGTCCGCAGACATACCGCTGTGCCACTGAGGGGCCTTTCAAAAGAAACTCGTTTGTTCTAAGAGTATATACCTGGGGTTTTGTATCTATGGAAAGTATACGACAGTTCACTCAATAAGTGGGTTAGAACACACGTTTTAAGCATGATGTTTCTATGTTCAGCACGTTGAACTCAAATAGTGATAATGCGAATTAATTATTTTATTTCAAATATAGGTAAAGACAAGAGCCTAGCTCTTCCATGTGGAAGGTGTGGCCTACTTGTTAGCGTACCGAGCTGCTGGTTGAAAAATTCAAGCCACAATATGCCGCTAAAAACGGTCCGCACTTTCAGTATGGACGCGTTATAAAAGTGACTGTCAATCCCGCAATTCGGTTAAGAGCAGCCATATAGAAGAAAAGTGGTGCTGAATGATTACCCTCCCTGTAATCAGCAGCTCAAAATTAGAGACGGCTATACCTCAACCTTGGGATCTCTGATCTGGCCCTTTAACCCATGTGTTGCATAAGGTTGAAAATACCAGATATCATATCTATATGCTCATTTCTAACGCCTGGTTCTGCAGAAGATAATTAATTATTGAAAATACAAGTTTTCTTCAACTGCTGATAAACAAATTAAAACAAAACGAATGGAAATAGCACTGTGGATACGATGTATAAAATTAACTGAAATTATTTTTGTTACCAACAATCCTTCTTATTGTTTCTGGCCACCGTATTCATCTTCTAATATTTCAACTCATACAAATTTTTAAGTTGGATATTATTATGTTCGATAGATATTGTTACAATTCACACTGTAGTATTGCATACTCAAGATATAAATGTTCAATTCTAACTCGTCTCAATTCAATGAATTTAGTGCCATATTTAAACATAACCTATAAGTATATGGATTAGAAATACTACGTAAATGTATTCAGTGATAAATGAAACATTTGTAGTAGCGTCTTTGGTATGACGTATCCTGTATTTCACGATAATTTTTTTGGTTGTTTGTTTTTCTGAGTTTTAATGGTTTTGTTAAATTTGGTGAATTCTAAGTAGCGAATCATAAATATATGCTGTAAAGATATATGACTTTTTTATAATTATTTTCATTACGTGTTACTTTATTTTGTCTGCAGATCATTCAACAAACGTAAAACGGATCGCTTTCACTTTTTGGACTATATTCGAAACAGTACGGCCAGTCGATATATTTATCACTAGAGGCCACAAGCATAACTAAATACTGAATAATTAGAAATAATATACGGGTAGTAGTTCATTATTGTACCACTCTGTTAACAAGAGAAACGTCTGTACTTGCAACATAACATATATGCAAACTATTAACTTTACATTTAGTTTACTTGGATATGTGTATCTGGGTATAGCTTCAAAACTTTATTCACAAAATGTAAACGAAATTAATATCAATATATCAAAATTAAAAGACCCTCTTGGCTCATCATTAAAATCAGAATCCCTCATTAATTGTCACATAGTTCTTATGTCACCGTTTGAAAACGTACGTAAAGCTGGATCTGGCACAGCCTGAAGAATGCAAAAGGAACGTGGTGAGGTTGTTATTTTTAACCAAGAGAAACATGTAGCTAGAGTAGACATTAGGAGTTGGGAGGTGTACAAGATACGGTTAAGCCAAACCAACAGACACCCACCCCATCTTCACTCTTTGTATTCAGAAAATAAATAAAATTCAGAATTTAGCTAACCTGAAAATAAAGGTGGACACCAATTCATCAGAAGGTTAACATATAAATTTGTAAATCATGACCTTTATAAGGATGCGAGTTTTATATTATTACAGTTGTGTCAGTTTCACTGTCTAGTTTTCTTTATGTAAACCAACTCATTATATCGGTCAGTTGTTGTTTTTAAATAGTTTATCTAGTTTTCTCTGTGTAAACCTACTCATCATATCAGTTAGTTGTTGTTTTTAAATAGTTTAACTAGTTTTCTCTGTGTAAACCAACTCATTATATCGGTTAGTTGTTGTTTTTAAATAGTTTATCTAGTTTTCTCTGTGTAAACCAACTCATCATATCGGTTAGTTGTTGTTTTTAAATAGTTTATCTAGTTTTCTCTGTGTAAACCAACTCATTATATCGATTAGTTGTTGTTTTTAAATAGTTTATCTAGTTTTCTCTGTGTAAACCAACTCATTATATCAGTTAGTTGTTGTTTTTAAATAGTTTACCTAGTTTTCTCTGTGTAAACTAACTCATTATATCGGTTAGTTGGTGTTTATAAATACTTTAGTTTCTGTCTGTCCATTAACACATTTTATCGAGTTTTAATTCAATAAGTGTTTAAAGAACCTTTTAATATTTATTGCATCAAAGAACCTGTCTTGTTTTACTATTTACAAAAGGTCAGTATAGAATAGTCCTTCAAGAAATTTCAGCTGGAATCTTTTATTTAATTCGTGTGCGTGTTTTCTTTCAAAACGTTAAAAAGCATCATAATTTGATAACAATAGGGAAAATTATGATGGGTGACTGTAACTGAGTTTGGTTTTAGAAACGAATTAAGTTACATTATTAAAGTCGGAGTTACTGAGCTTTGACTTAAGATATCATATGTTTCTGTGTGTCTTTTTACATCAATAACGACCCAAAGTTTTAATTTTTAACAGTCAGATAAAATCTTCTGTTGAGGTTATATTGATATAACAGGTAAATTTGCAAGCAGGTTTTGTAATATTTGGCTAAATATATGAGAAAAGTACAGTTTTTTTTATTTATCTTACGTTCTCCTCACCAAATGTTTTAAGTTCAAAGCAACTAATATATATATATACATATATATTTGTATTGTTGAGGGGCAAATGAGAAAAATCAGTAATTTCAAAAGGTAAAGGTCATACAGTGAATCTTTAGATCCATATTTCTGACTTTCTAAAGTATCTGTTCATTATTACGTATTACGTATCAGGTGAACTGAATCTCGATAAGGTGTGCCATTAGTGTCTATTCATCTTTATGTGATTAGCTGGGTGTGGCTTAATGGTTAGTAGGCTGGGCTGTAAATCAGAAAATCCGAGGCTCGAGTCGCGACATGCCGCTTAACACGTTCTTTACTTTCAGCTGTTATAAGTATATCAGTCAGTCTCGTATTTTGTTAAAAATATCCTAAACCTTAGTCTGTGACTTAGCATTTAGTCCTTGTGTCGTATAAGATGCTATTTAGATTGAAAATGCCAAATGCCTTTATATGGTTATATATGTATCAGCTATCTTCTCGTTATTATAACTACCATCCAACACCAATCAGGTTCTTTTTGTAGATGATTTAGGCTGAATATTCATGATGAATAAATAAAGTTGGTATAAGGAGCAAGTGCTTATTTCAGAGAGACACTTGTAAAGAAAGTCTTCGAGGACTAATCTAAAAAAAGTAACTCGAATAGGAACTCCTGCCAAATCTGGTGCAAGCTGACATGAAGATGAAAGATGCAGGTCTTAAAATGTCGTCCTTTCTACTTAAGCTACTTTTGTGGGTTAGTCCTCCAAGACTTTCCTTACATGCGTCATTCTGAACTAGACAGGTAGCTACAACGTTCACCTTTATTTATTCAACAGTCAGATTGATTATCAAAGTCCGAATTTCAAAAACTTCGTTAACTTGAACAAAATAGAATACAGACTACAATAGTTCTGAGTTATACTTTTTAATTAAATTTACTACAGTAATTAACAGTTTTGAAAAAAACGTTGATTTTTATTGTTTATCTAATTTATACCATACTTTTAGTTTCTCGGCAGAATTTATTTAATTGTGTGGACGTTCTTAATATTGTAAACATGACAAACAATAGAATGTTGTGCGAAATCATATTGTTACTTTGCGATTTTTTAACATTGTTTGACTGATAATCTTCTAAACCATTATACTAAAAAAACAGTACTGTATGATCATTTCTAACATTATTTTATCTGATCGTCTTTATAACGTTTTATAAAAACATATTATGAGCTGATAATTTCTTAATATTTTTATTTAAAAAAATGTAATATTAGATGGTAATTCCTAACGTTGTTTATGCGATTACTTTTGAATTTTTTTAAATACTTATATATATTTTAAAACTTATCAAACCTTTTTTTTCTGATTCACTAATGAATGTTTTATTATAGTACTGTACCAAAACATTACTTCTTGTTTATCTAGGATTTTGTCATGGGACTTTCAGTCTTAGCCCGAGGATCTCTTCAGGAAAAGCTCCGTTGGACATTCAATCTGTATGATATTAATGGAGACGGGTACATTACCAAAGACGAAATGTGCAGAATTGTAGCTGCAGTTTATGATCTGATGGGAAAAGCTGTCGAGCCTCTTACAGACGACCTAACCACCAGAGAACGGGCTGAGCAAGTATTTCAGGTAATCCATATTTTTTACGAAATATAGTCATAACTATATATATAACTAACAAAAAAATCCTAAGTAGGATTTAAACGTATAAACGTATTTAGCGGCTTTATACAAGCAGTAGTAATATGAATTTGATTTCCGCACAACCCCAGCGTTTCCTACTTCAGAAGAAAAAATAAAGTCAACCCCAAGCAGATTCCATTATAGAAACTGCTCATCCAGTAACTAAATAAAACAGGCATTCAATATATTTCTAATAATTCGATGACGAGGAACCCACTTTGAGACTAATAATGGCTGGAGACGGCTTGTATGTGTAATGAAGAAAAACTTTAATATAAGTTTAACATA